ATTAATAGAAAAGGTATTTGGCCTTTTATCATTTCAATTTAGCTTGACGTGTTTGAATAATTCCAGCCTTATATTTCACTTTATCTTTACTGAATTATATAATCCTTTCTTTAAAGTACGATGGAACACTAATTTCTCTAATCCACGCTGATGAGGTATCAGGATTGACGAGCACTGACAATATCGATTTTGATGATGAAATTTTCGTAAAGTCATTGATATATAAATCTGAATATTTACTATCAGTGCGTGGTTTAGAGTCTGGATTTAGTAGAGATGTGTCTGGTGAGGTAAGTTGCGGCTAATCCGGTAATTACGTAAGAGCTTGTATGTTCCCTTAATTATATTATTAATTATTAAATGTCATTATTTAAAAGATAACTATCGCTCGTGGTCCAAAAAATTTTGAAAAGTGGTTTAGGCCTACCACTTTACATTACAAGATACTTGACAATAATGTACAATTTTTTGCTAAAGGATTTTCTCAAAGCATTTTTTAAGAAGAGTCCGAATGAAGTGTTGTAAATGGTCAATTAACCTTTTAACCTTTTAAATTCGCGTAGCATTATATGTCCGGAAGTTTACATGTGATTATCATTATGTATTCAACCGATCATCATCATGGATGGTTTGATACTTCTGCACCTGCTTTTTTGACACCTTAATATAATTTATTCTAATGTTAGTCGTCAAAGTTTAAACTATCGACCGACTAATGTTATAAAGTCGGTTTAGCCGGTTTAGAAAATTAAATATTAATAACTATATATATATATATTATAGTTTAATTTTATCTGACTTAAATTTTTTAATTTTAAATTTAATTTGTGAATATTATATAAACATATATATAATACATATATTATATATATATATTATATTTTGCTATTTAATACATTTAAACTATTGTACTGTAAATACTGAATAATACAGTATTGTATAAATTTTAATAAAAAAAAATGTGTTGCAGGTTCTTTATATGTATATACCGTAAATTCTCAAAATAGCGGGCGTGGGCGTTATTTTGAATTTTGGCCCGAATTAAGTTTAATTCGGGCCAAAATTCAAAATAATGCCCATGCCCGCTATTTCGAGAATTTACATCTGGATATATCGTTTATTTTTAGAGAGCATCGATAGACATGTATTAAAAACTTATTAATAATGTAAAAAGCAGGGAATTAATTAGCTTATCGGAATTTTGAATTTTCGTGTTCAACGATAATCTATACTACATTGATCGGCCTCTTACGCAACCGATCAGTGGCAGTACAGATTATCGTTAAACATAACCTAGGAAAACTCCGATAAGCCAGGATATTATTACAAACTTTGAGTAAATAAATACGTATACGTATACTGTATATATGTATATCAGATACGTATACTGTATACGTATCGTATGTATATTAATTAATTGCTACGTATACAGTATAGTTATTTTTAAAAAAAATTTAATACGTATATAGTTGTTAACAATCTGGTTTTTTTTGTATATTTTGGCCGGGTTATAAAAATCACTTTGTATAGCCTTATCAGTTATATAACTTGTTAAATAAAATTCTTATAATTGAATTATTACTATGTCCTAAATAGTTTTTTTTTAATTCTAGATCAATTATGCCTGCTGCTTGCCTAATTATTATTTGGACATTTCCGAAATCGCAAATTTTCTTCTATCAGAAACGATTTGCTGTGATCACAAAAAAAACCAACTTTTTCGAAAGCTAAACAGAATACACAGAGCACCAAAGAAATCACAATCGCTGCAAAATATCAGAACTAAGCCGTTCAAAAAACAAAGTTAGCGAATTTCGAATACGTAGCTAGATAGCAGATAGGCAATAAA